CCCCTTTAGGAAGGAAGAAGGTGGGTGGGGGAGGAGGGGGGAGGAGGAGGAGGAGGAGGGAAAGGGAATAGCTAATCTGAGCACAAGGGCGCCATTAAGCTTCTGTGGCTTTGCAGCCGAAGCGGGCTGCTTTGAAGCGGCCGCTAAATTGGGAGCGCCGCCGATGCCCCGCGCGCCCTCTGCCGGCTTACGGTGCCGAAGGCGAGCGACAGAGCCCTCAAACGCCACCGAGACACGGGTCGCTTTTGCCAGACTTCACGCTCGGGCGGGCGCCGGGCTCTTTCGGCTTGTGCCCCAAATCAGAGCCCTGGGTGGTCGACTCGCTTGCGTGGTCCTTTGGATGCTCTCCGTCTGTGATGGAGAAGGAAATAAAAGAGCCTCCTTCTGAGCCACTCCGCCGTCTTTGGCAGCAGTAAAGTTTTGCCCGAGAAGGATTGATGGTCCCTGCTCCCTGGCTCATCCGTGGGATTTTAGAGAATTTAACCGTTTTTATTTTCCTGCACTCTCCCAACACTTCTCCCCTCCTTTTTTCTAACCCAGACTGTCCCTACCGTTAAGCAGAGCATTAAGTTGTAACCTAAGGGGGCAGATGCTAAAAGCCAAGGCATAGCTGAACTGTAGAACTGGATGCACTTAGTGGGGAGGGCCACCATTTTCTCCACATTGTTCCACATCAAAGGTACAGAGACAACTACAGTTGCCACCTCATGCCCAAGGCAAGTTAGAACTGAGCGATCAGCGTTCTCGCGGTTCTTCCAGACTCAAGGACTGGAGGAACGCATTTAAGTGCAACCATCTGGGTGTGCCCTAAGCTAGACAGTTTTATCAGGGAATTCACCAGACATCTTTATTAGTCTTTACTACCTCCTGGATCACCAATGGCAACTCAGCTCACCAGTGGGGTGGGGGTTTATAGGTTTTTGTATCATGGGTTTTAATTCTGTAAGCTGCCTGGAGTCACCATGTGTGAGCTGGATGGCCATATACATTTATTTAATAAGTAAATAAAAGTAATAAACTCCAGCTTCTGAGGAGCCATAATGGTTGTCACCCTCCAATTCAGGCATTTGAGCTTGGCCACAGTGTGACCAATGGAACCTGCAGAGGGGGTCGTGGGGGAGGGGGGGAGAAATGGTAGAAGCACTTTCATTGGACGCAAGTTCTGCCTCCTTTCTATATCCATTGTGATGTCACACATACGAAAGGGGCGGAGCTTGCATCCTGACACTGCGATGCCACTTTCCTCATGTTGATGAAAGCATTGAGTCCTGCAGATATCTCTGTGCATTACACAGAATGTTAAATGAGAAGAAACCTTTACTTGATTTTTAAAATCCTGTAAGGAGGGAACCTGAAGAGCTGTACAGTATATGCTTTTTGACCGGTGGTGTTAAGAACTGTCTGTCTATGGATCTGTCAATGTTGAATTAGAATTGGACCCCTTGCTGAGATACCTTGTGGCTACAGTTCCCAGAATTCCCGTGCCTCATTATTCTACAAGACTGAAATACATTTGCTGCGTGCAAAAATTATGGGTGAACAGCAAGCAGCATTGTAACATTGGCACATCACTGGATGCACTGGCGCAATAGCCATCAGAATGCTTGCAACCAAGTGTATTGATTGCGCTGAGGTTTTAAGTCGTGAAATGTAATAAAAGGTTATGTGGTTTGGGTGTAGACTTTCAAGCTTTATTTAGGCAGCATTCCATCTGAAGAAGGGCAAATTTTACTAAACTGCTATGGAATGAAGCTCCGTAATTGCTTCTGTGGTATTTTACATATTTGGGGGTGGGGGGGCAGTTATGTAAGAAGCCTACATGCACAAAATGGAAGATCGCAGAGCATGCTTTAGCCCCACTGGAGTTGAATCTGATTATGGTTAGCGCAATAAAAATAGAATTAAGAGAACCGCAACTTAAGAAGCCTTTTCAGTTATTTTTTCCCCCAGTGGTGTACAGTATTAAATCTTTATATAGATACTGTGGCTTTGGTCTAAATTTGGGCCTGGCAGCTGTACACAGTTATCAAAACCAGCTTAAAAGCCATATTTCAAATAGTACCATGCTATTTAAGAGTAAATAGAATTACTATTGATTAAAAGGATCACAGTCAGACTAGGTTTGAACATTTAAATTAATATTAATTTGAAACTGAAAACTATTGAATTAACACCCCCCCTCAAAAAAAGGTAGCTTAAGGCTGGCTTATTTGAGGTAATTCGTATGTTTGTGTTTACAATGGTTATGTTAAGCTGCAGGTCTGGACAGGCTGTGGCACTTTGTTGCTGAGTTAGAATTCCCATCAGCCTCAGCCAGTATTAGCTAATACGGTAGCTAATCCCCTTTTCACTGTTAGAGAAGAGAAATCTGTTTGGTTTACATTTAAATGCAAGCTTATGTGGTTCAAACTATCCAAATCAGTATGTGAAATGCAGCTATTTTTTTCCCCTGGTTTTGTAATTTTCCTCACAAAAAGTACATGCATTATGGGAATCTGTCCTCCCCCTCCCAAGATAGATCGGTAGGTAGGTATTAGGGAAAAAAATGCATATGCGTGTGTACATTGGGGTATTGGGAACCCAAGCAATTTCTGAACAGCAGTGACAATTGCACAGAGCATGGCTATCTTTTAAGAGATTTCTACATGTTTATCAGTCAAAAGGAACAGCATGTTTTCCTCACTTGACCCTCCAAAACGATTTAGCAGGGGCGGGCAGGATTAAGGTCTGAACTCTTAATAAGCAAAAGGTGGGTTTGTGCAGCAAGCACAAGTTATTAGACAAACCTGGAGTGAAGGGTCTTCAGCCTTACCTGCGATCATAAAAAAAGGGGGTAAGAGAGCCAGTTCAGTCTAGTAGTGAAGGCGCTGGCCTGGAAACCAGGAGACGGTGAGTTCTAGTCCTGCCTGAGGCGTGAAAAACAAGCTGGGTGACTTTGGGCCAGTCACTCTCAGCCCTACCGACCTCACAGGGTTGTGGGGAAAACAGGAGGCAGGAGGGTTAGGTATGTTTGTTGCCTATACTTATATATAAAAAAATTGGGATAAAAATCTAATAATAATATGACTCCAATTATTTTAAGTATCAGTCCAGGGCACATTGCTTCATTTCTGAATTGGGACCCTTTTCCCCCAGTGAGACTAAATACTAAATTGATAGGCCGTATTTAAAACAATTTAAATCCATGTCCCCCCCCCCCCCAGTCTAGTAATGTTACAAATACAGGATATCAGACATTTAACTAGATCAAGTAATACATACGAGAGTCAGTCTGGTGTAGTGGTTCAGGCAACAGGCTAGAAATCGGGAGATGGTGAGTTCTAGACCTGCCTTAGGAACGAAGCCAGCTGGGTGACCTTGGGCCAGCCACTTTCTCTCAGCCCTGGGAAGCAGGCAAGGGCAAGCCACTTCTGAAAAACCTCGCCAAGAAAACTGCAGGGACTAGTCCAGGCAGTCACTAGGAGTCAACACCGAGTCACAAGGCACGCACAAAAAAATTATATTCTAAATTCCTGTAAAAGAAAGATTAAAGCATTTTTGCCCAACAGAGATGTAGCTTACCAGTAACATTACTGGGATATATTATTACTGGTGAATAAATGTTACAACTGCTGTAATTAAGTTTGAAAAAAATAGGGTAAACTGAAGTTGTCCAATTTTATATTTCCTTGTGTTAACTTTGAAAATAATAATTTAAAAATCCATCTCAGAATGTAAAATAACGATAAAAGTGAAGGTTCCCTTGGGTCAAGTTGGATTTCTGGTGACATCCGTGTAGCTTTTTTCTCTGCTGACAATGCGGAAGTCATTTGCCATCGCCAGGATGGCCTCCTAAGAATTTGACTGACTTCTCAGCCTAGCTTAAAGTTCTGGCCTTTCCTGATCATCTCCCATCCAAGTTCTAATCACGCTAACCCTAATAAATGATAGAAAATTACAACTTCTCTTTTTGGGGGGCGAGGGGGGGGGTTGTATCTGATGCTAATGTACAACACATGCAACTGGAAAGAATTCCTTCTTTCCCTGGTGGCCCCCAAATCTAGGAGGTTGGGGGACACTCAAATAGATCTGGAGGAGACATTAGGCACAGGTAAGGAAGACATAATCCCCTTGGGAGTCTGGGCCAAAGCAGCATTAGAACACATTCTGTGCAATAGCAGAAATATCTCCACAAACCCAAATAAGAGGCAGCTTTTAACCCTGTGTTAGAAATGAACTGCTTTGTTTCCAATGAATTGATCAGTTGAATTCTAGCATCCTGCAAAAAAAAAAAAAATCTACGAGCATAGCCCTGATGAATGAATCAATTTGCAGGAAAAATTACTTGAATAAATTACGCCTCAACGAATGAATCAGTTATAAATAACCATGTTTATTCAATTTATATAGCTGCCCATCTCCATATATGACTCTGGGCAGCTCACAAATAGTTAAAAACAATATGAAAAAAGCAAAACAATACAACAATTTAAAACAATGAAAACAATATGAACCATAAAACTAGATCACAAAATAAAACATATCTTTTACTTTCCGCAGATTTTTCCAAAGATGTATTAGCCATTGTTAGTCATAAGTGGATTTAGAATTTTCTGTTAAAAATCATATTATTATATTATATTATAATTATTATTATAAAAATTACAGCTCCTCTATATAAATTAATGATAGGAGTGGAAGTCAGCAGCCCTTGGAGTCCTCTGATTTCACTTCCAGAACTTATAACTGAAGTTGCAGAAGCAGTGGTACAGTTCCACTTAGTATTTTGAGGTAAGAGACATGCAAAAGGCCTAAAATTGGCTATCTGCAGTATTGCAAACAAAACTCACATTCCACACGCACGCACAAAAGAACCTTAGAAAAAATGCAGAAAATACTGACCTCGGTAGCCCTACTCACTTTGGCCTTTGTCCCACCTGCCCGCCTGCTATGCTTCCGGTAGAAGCATTAAGGGTAGTTTTGGATCACCTGAAGATTGCCAACCCTGGTCTAAATTTTTCATTGAAGCTCTTTTTCAGTAATGCATTTGTGATAACCATGGCAACTTGGTGTTCTGCTGTATCTTCTGTTTGCAACTATTTGTCTCAAAATTTTAGCTTAATGACCCTGAATTTACATATGCAAATTGGTATCCAAGTATTCACGTGTTCACAAACAATTACCATCTCCTTTTTCTTTATATAGCTGAGTCCCACTGGGATTAAATATTTTAAAATTCACCTCTGCAATCCTACAACATGGGAGCAGCAAGGGCCTTGCAGCTCAGACTGTCTCCCAATATTCAATGTTTGACTATTGGACAAGTGTCTTTCTAAAGCTAACATATTTTGTGTTGGTTGCTGGTACGATTCATTGCTTGTGAACAAAACATCAGATACTCAGAGCCAGTTTGGCCTAGTGGTGAAGGCACCAGGCTAGAAAGCAGGAGACAGTGAGTTCTAGTCCTGCCTGAGGCATAAAAGCCGGCTGGATGACTTTGGGCCAGTCACTCTCTCTCAGCCCAACTCACCTCACAGGATTGTTGTTATGGGGAAAACAGGAGGAGGAAGGAGTATTAGGTATGTTCGCCACCTTGAGTTACTTATAGAAATAATAAAGGTGGGATAAAAAAGTCTAAATTATTAAATTAAAATCTAAATTACTATTCTGTCTGCAATAAGCAACACTGAAATATCACCATGCACCTACAGTAGCTAGAATGCAGGACAGTTTCTTTCTAAAAAAAAAAAAATTGAGCATTTTTCTCTGAAGAAGAGAGTAAAATGGGTACAGTTCGTGCTTGCAGACATGTCCAGCAAATAACAAAGTTTGATCACCACTGTAGTGTCATATCTGCTTTGCTCCATTTGTATTTGCCTCCTCTCTTGAAAAACATATTTTCATCAAAGCCGCTGAATTGGATAGCATGTTTTACACCTATATCCAGGATTGATCGAGAAGGTTCTTTCTGGCCATTTACACAGTTGAGAAAGCGCATCTGGGAAAAACACAGAGAAAATAATTACAGTGGAAGAGAACTACTAGTGTGTACAGCTGTTCTACCAAGCTAAATGATTTACAACCAAATCACTTGAAGTTAGTGCCTAACTCCAATTCTGCAAATGACTTCAAGTAATTATATACAGGTAAACAATGTTATTAATATTTATGATTCTGAATGATGCCATTTACCATAATGCATTTGTTTTTAGCTCATGTGTGAAGAATTATTTCAGAAGCAACAGTAAAAGCATTCTGAGTCATTTTTATTTGTGCACAGATGTGCAGTACAATGCAAAATGGAATATATAATCTAGCCAGTTTAGATTTTATTGTCAGATTCCCTACAGAAATAGCAACAAAACAACAAAGTAACAATATAGACCAGTGATGGCAAACCTATGACGTGTGTGTCAAAGGTGACATGCCACGACATTTTGGGTGACATGCCAGCATTCACCAACACCCGACAACAACTATTCTCCCTGTTTGAGGAAATAGCAACAAAACAACAAAGTAACAATATAGACCAGTGATGGCAAACCTATGACGTGTGTGTCAAAGGTGACATGCCACGACATTTTGGGTGACATGCCAGCATTCACCAACACCCGACAACAACTATTCTCCCTGTTTGAGTACCAAAGAAACTGAGTTTGTTTTATTCGTATTTCATTTTTGTAATTATTTGACATTTCTTTGTATAATACATAGCACCACACATTATCAGACTGTATTGTTTTTAAATAAATGAATATATAAAGAATTGTTTCTCTTTTGTTCAGGGGGATGACACACCAGCAGAGTCAAGTTAGGCATTTTCCGAATTTTTGACACACCGAGCCCAAAAGGTTCGCCATCACTGACATAGACCAAACTGTCTGAAAGGCCTTTCAGAGTGCTTTTAAGATGAAACTTAGGGGTCTGTAATTTCCCAGGCCAGAATATGTATGTATATGTGTAGGCATGTTTGTAGGTATCAATCAATCAATGAATCAATCAATCAAACTTGGCCATGTGTATAGCGGAAACCAAAACTTCAGCCAAGATGCTGACAGCACAAATCTTGACCTCAAGACAAACTGCAGAAATGCTTAAGAGCAGAGTTGCAAGTGGAGATATAGTCTCCCATCAAAGCAGAGGAAGATTTAGGCTGACTCAATGTATACTCCAGAGTTGTAGAAGTAAACTGATTTACTCCAATTTCAAAATTTGCTTCAACCCAGCAGTTGCCTGTAACCAGGAATTAGAAAGATGGGCATCAAAGGACCCAGAGAGGTGCTTATACATGTAGTATCTCAATCTTGTATTGACTGTCTGGACTTTTCCCTCTTTTCTTTTAGCTTATTTATCCTGTCATCTCAGTTAAAGTGCCCGAGTTTTAAGTACGTGCATACAATGTTCAGTTGTACCATACAGTACATATGCACACTGCTCTACTTCTGTAAACTATATACTGTAGACTGCACTTTCATTCCAATCCACTGGCTGAATTGAATACAATGGACTCACTACTGAATAAACACATACAGGATTTTTTATTTAATGGACTGGGTGGAGGGAGGGAGGGTCCATTATTCCTGACTCTATTTTAAATCAAAGAACATGTTATTTACAGCAACAGTATTATGCAAATAATATAAATGACATCATTGCATCAAATTCATGACCTTGCACAAATGATATAAAATGATATAAATACAATGGAAATTTTCATCTGTTGTATCCAAAGTCTGTTGATCCAAGGTCCACCAAATCAGGTTTCCACAGTATACTATAAGGGAGAGTTATATCTGAAGCCTAATATTTTATTAGCTCTATTTAATATTGAATTGTTATATGCTTCACTTATATCAGTGGGTTTTACTTCCAAGATGTATAAGTTGTGATCTCCCTATAGCAAGGACTAAAATAAAGCTCCAGTTTCAGAAATAGGAAAAAATGTTTTCAAAATATAGGGGAAATAAAATAACAAACAAAAATGGCTTACATATTCATCCAGAATTAGGTAGGAATTTCTCATCTGTGAAAAGACAGAAAATTAATTTACCATAACATAAAACAATATGTTTAAAAATTGATGGTGATCAATAATAATAGCAGATTTTATCCATGAGTTTGGTATAGCTTATTTTTATTTTGTCCTGTTGTTTCAAAATAGAGCTAATATAGCCCTCAGGATTGACTGTATCACATTAGAATGCAAATTAAAAGCTATCTGTGCATGAAGAATTAGGTTAGCAGAGAGAAAGGCTCTATTGTGGAAACCTGATGTGACATAACATCATTCAGTCCTATGATTTCCCACCCCCAAAACTACTACATTTCCAGAAGAGATACGCCATAGAATTCTTCTGATGATTTAAGCAAGTTCCTCAAAAAAGGAACAAGGCAAAACTCAACATTTAAACATGAAATTGTTCAGATCATATAAAAAGAAGAATGTAGATGTTTAGGAGTACTCCTTTGGTCCATATCATATTATTTTCTAGGTCAGTGTTTCTCAACCTTGGCAATTTTAAGATGGGTGGACTTCAACTCCCAGAATTCAACTGCCTGTGACTGTTCGCAGTTACAACGGTGATGAAAAAGTAACTTTACAACCAGTCCTTGCATTTATGACCTTTGCAGGTCTGTTTAGCAAAGGAAAGCCAAAGTAAGATCATAAGCAGAGTTGCGGTTTCACCTAGAATCACTTTGCTTAATGGCCGAGTTGCTGGTCCCAATTGTGGTTGCTAAATGAAGACTACCTGTATAGGGAGTCACTATTATCACAACTGCTGTATTGTTTAGGTTTCTATAGTAGACACAAAAGTTCACTTGGAGTTGGTAAACAATTTATTTGCTTGAGAATAACCTCTCATGCCAAAACTTGTAGAAAAGGTTAGGACTTACCATACTTTTGCTGATGTGGCCTATGGACATGATAGAGCTATGCTATTAGAGGGCAAGATCTTAACAGTTCTAGCAAAATATTGTGTGTTTCCAGACCAAGACCCATGGTCATACAACTACTCTGCTTCATTTACTTAATAATACTCAGTATTCTCAATCTGCAATTTTATTATGTTGTTATATCTTTGAATTTTGTATATCTTTCAGTAGTTAAGAAGGAATAGTTTGCTGAGTACTTTTTGATTAGTAGTGTTAGATGCCATCTCTCTGAAAACATCCATTAACCAAGGCTGCAATTTCTATACACAGTTGCTATACTTCTATATAGGTAGTCCTTAACAGCCACAATAGGGACCAGAAAATTCATTGTTAAGCAGGGTGGTGGTTAAGCAAGTCATGTCCAATTTTACAACCTGTTTTGCAGTGGTCATTAAGCAAATCACTGCGGACATTAAGCGAATCATGCAGTCATTAAGTGAATCACGTGGTTCCCCATTGATTGTGCTTGCCGGAAGCTGGCTGGGAAGGTCGCAAATGGCAATCATGTGACTCTGGGAGACTGCAACCATCATAAGTGTGAGCTGTTTCCCAAGTGCCTGGATCATGATCATGTGACTGCAGGGTGCTGTGATGGTTGTAAGTGCGAGGACCGGTTGTAAAACCCTTTGTTCAGCACCTTTGTAACTCTGAATGGTCGCTAAACAAATGGTTGTCAAGTGAAGACTACCTGTACATACATACAAACAGTATGGCATAACTTTTGAATAAATGTAGGACAGACTGTATTGCATGAGATACTTATATTAAACTGCAGCAGCAGCAAAAAAAAAAAAAAAAGACACTGGGGGACAGCATAAAGCTCAGTTTTAACAA